AAAGACCAAACAAAAAAAAAAAAAAAAAAAAACAGAAAAAAAAAAAAAAAAAAAAAAAAAAAAAAAAAAAAAAAAACATAACACATGATAACAGTGAGAGTCAGATACACACATTCAGACAAAAATGGAGGTAGAAAGTGGTAGATTGGCAGAATGGGAAATGCTATTAAAATAAATAAAATAAAATTTTTAAAAAAAAAGAAAGAAGAAGGCAGAACTTACACAGAAAACGTTACAACACAATTTCTGTTTACCTTTAAATATATGCAAGGAAAATAAGCAACAGCGAGATGACAATTCCAGATCACACCATCACATTGAAAGCCAGATAGTCGCACCGTGTCCAGAGAGCAGCATTGCACCAATAATACACCAATGGAGGTTCGTAGCACTGAAAACCAATGTTCATGGAGAGCATACTATCTCCTCTCAACACAAGAGTCCAGTTCCTTCACACTCTCACTTGGCGCTCAGCGCCCAGCCTACTCCTACACAGCTACTACAGACTACGAAATGACAATGCAACTGTTGACATCAGCGGCAGCCCGAAGTACTTGAAGATGTCGCCCATGCAGACCATCGCCAATACAAGGTATGTGCCCTCACATCATCATCATCATCATCATCATCCTTCACCTATCCCCTGACTACACCCACGTCTGTCCTCTGTTTCACCCGAAGACCACCCCTGCGCCTCACTGTAGTCCAAGGCCACCAGCTATGGTGGCTAGGCTATGGCGCTGCCCTCAGCAGCGCCCTTCTTCCCTGCACGACCGCACGTGCTGCACCTCGTCTCTCAGCGCCAGCCAGCAGCCGCGAGCCTTTGCTCCAGCAGCGCTGCCGCTAGCATGCGAGTGCCTGAATGAGGCTGCCTGGCCAGAGCTCTTTCCTTTATGGGAAGAACTGGCCTGCTCGCGCAGCCTGGCTGGGCTGGCCTGGGCCCAGAAGCTTCCGGAAGGCCCCAGGAGGCTGCCTGGATGCAGCAGCTACTGGGCTGCTGGGCCTAGTTCGGTTGGGCGCCCAACTGTCTCTGTATGAGGCTGCGAATCACGCCCAGGGCCTGCATTCTTTGGAAAGGCCCGGAAGGCCGTGGAAATGTCTTTGTTGCTCGGCCTGTGTTTCTTTCAACCAACTGGCGCGTCGCAACTGCCTGGACCCCAAATATGAAATTGACAGTCGAGGGCCTCTTGCAAAAAGCCAGGCCCGCCTTCACTC